TGCAACTTTAGCTTGAGTATGCCTCTTTCACCCACATATGAACTTGTTCAATGCAAAGAACAGCAGAGCCAGTTGATAAATATGCAGTATACTGAGAGCATAAGCAGAATACATTTATGCAACAAGCTCCTATGTAAGTACATTTTTACAGCTTGGTAAGCAAACAGAATATTAAGACATATGAATTCTTTTAATACACACTATACTATGGAGAAACAAAAATATGGACACTGAAAATATATTTCTTATGCTGATGCTTATTCCATAAAAACCTTTCATTTTATTGGTATAACTAAGATGTTAAGTCTTATTTCAGTCATAGTCTCTACTACGTTATTAATTTCAGTATTATGAACAAAATGTACTATGAAACAGTGCTGCTGTGTTTCAGATGACTTGATGCTATTTGCGAATGCCAAAGTCAACAAAAATATTTCTTGGAATAATTTGTAGATATGCTTACCTGTCCAGGGCACCTTCCAGGTGTTCATGTGAAACATCAAAGTAATAGTTGGTGTGCTCTCCACTGGTAAAAGCGTTTGAACTCCCTGCATGTTCACTAAGAAACTGGCTGTATTCATTTTCTTTGGGGTATTTTTTTGTTCCCAAGAACAGCATATGTTCACAAAAGTGACTTAATCCCGCAATATTAGGCGGATCTGATAGTGACCCTTATGGGGAGAAAAAATGGAACATGTCACTGTACAACATTTAAGTTCTGTTTAACAGGATGTCTTTCAACCTACATAGCCAATCAGATCTTCAGTGGCCAATCATAAGACCTACTAGATAAAAGCGCCACCCACTTTCTAAAAACACTTGGCAACGGCCAACACCTTTCCTGGTGTCTGGCCATGGTGCCCATGAGCACTTCATTAGTGGACCCCTGACTTAAGTTATATACTTAAATATGCATTACGGAGCACTGGATTGAAGACTAACCCCCATTCCTAACTAGAACCTGCTCTTTACTTAAAAGTAAATCCCACTGTTAAGGACTTGCTACACCCCAAGTCCACTATACAGAAAACTGTGTGTAACTTTAAAAGAATTATTTCTGAATGTCAGCATGTTTTGTACCATACACTTTCTTCGATTTAATGATCTTGGTTACAGCGATGGATGGATGGATGGATGGATGGAAGGGAGGGAGGGAGGGAGGGAGGTTTGTCTCCTTCCTTCATTGAACTTTGCTGCAGTAATAACTTGAAAGGCACAATGAAGATAATGTCCACAGCTTGTGGAAAGGAATTCAGGAACCTGGCCCAGCTGGAAAAGATCAGTTAAGCATCTGTTCTCCCACCTCCACCCTTTTCAAATGCTTCAAAAAGCCCAGAGTGCCAGAGAGATGAGCTAAAGGGCTCTTGATCTTTGACTCTTGTCCTGGTTTGAGCTGCATCACAGGAATCTTTTCCACTGGGGTCTGTCAATGAGACCCTTGGCAACACCAGAGTATTAAGAAGGGAGGAGAGGAAAGTATGGCTGGTGAGCACACCTGAACCAAACCACCACCATCAGTAAGCTGAGTCAATTCCATAACCACACCAAAATCTACGGGAGAGAGTAGCAGTGAGTAGTGTCATCCATCTCCTCCCCCCTTCATTGTGTTTTCTAAGAACTGCATTGTTGGTTTTATTATTTTATGTTGTTACCTGGTATGGGTCCCACACCCATGTGGGAGTGGGACCCATACCAGGTAACAATGTAAGTTAAAACAATAAAACCAGTAATGCAGTTCTTAGAAAACACAATGAAGGGGGAGGAGATGGATGACACTACTCACTGCCGCTCTCCCTGTAGAGAAAGGTAGGATAAAATACTTAAAACACACACAAAATGACTGCTCAAATACCTATGTGTACATCAAGCGCAGCTGAAGACTTGTCTGTAGTGGGGTCACTGATAAGCATTGCCTTTATGCCATTTGCAAGTTTTAGCCCACGATACTCTCGTTTATCCTCAGGTGACTTGATAATATCAGTTGCTATTCTTTTGATAGCTGAATCATTCATTTTGTTGTGCAGTTGTTGCTGAAGTCTGGAAGAAGAAGTCAAAATTAAAACTCATACCCCACTCAAACAACCTAAGACAGAACCTGGGAACATTAACAGTTCTAAAAAATACAGTTTTATGATGCCCAGGTCTAATATACATTGCCTACAGTTCAACTAAGGTTGCCAGCTTCCAGGCGGGGTCTGGAGATCTCCTGCTTTTACAACTGATCTTCAGCTGACAGAGATCAGCTCCCCTGGAGAAAAATGGCTGCTATGAAGGATGAACTCTGTGGCATTGTACTGAGGTCTCTCCCCTCCCCAAACCCCACCCTTTCCCGGATCCAAAGTCTCCAGGTATTTTCCAAGCAAGGGCTGCAACCCTAGGTTCAACACAGTTGGCTGTGCTTAAGTCTACTGTAAAGCTATGCTGCCTTGTAGACAATGAAGTCAAAAGGAATCTTTCTTTCACGTGTGAAGCAATGCTAGAGAAGATGGGCTGGATCCTGACTAAATTTTCCACTAACAGAAGGGAAGGTGTAACTTCTCTCAAATGAGTGGGGCTTGTGAAGAAGAAACTGAAAGGAAAGGTAAGGAGGCTCAAAGGTAAAGGTTCCCTTGCTCGAAAGCCAGTCGAATCCGACTCTAGGGTTGCGGTGCTCATCTCCGTTTCAAAGCCGAAGAGCCAGCGCTGTCCGAAGACGTTTCCGTGGTCATGTGGCCGGCATGACTAAACACCAAGTCGCACGGAACACTGTTACCTTCCCACCGAAGTGGTACCTATTTATCTACTTGCAATTTCTTCCTTTCGAACTGCTAGGTTGGCAGGAGCTGGAACTAGAGACAGGAGCTCACTCCATCATGCGGCACACTCGGGTCTTGAACTGCTGAACTACTGACCTTCCACAGCCTGCAGTTCAGCGTCTTAACCACTTGAGCCACCGCAGCTTGGAGACTACTTAAAACTACAATACTGGAAGCTTAAATACAATGTGTACTGAAGGTTAGGAAAGGTTTTAACAGGTATTTTAAAAGGCCTGTGTGGTTAACGAACAAAGTAATGGAAGCATTAAAAGGTAAGGAGGATTCCTTTAAGCAGAAGGCTAGTCTGAGTGAGGTAAATAACAGTGAACTCAGAATGTATTTTTGCCTCTGTCTTCACTGTGCTTGCCCTCTCCAGAACCACCAATTTCAGGAGAGGAAAGACCAGAGTCAGATTGAGGTGATAAGAAAGGAGGTCCTACACATGATGGACAAATTAAAAACTGACAAATCACCAGGCCCAGATGGCATAGATATCTCCAAGAGTTCTGAAAGAACTCACATGTGAACTTGTGGGTCTCCTGACAAAAATAAGCAATCTATCACTAAAATCTGCCTCCATTCCTGAGGACTGGAAGGTAGCTAATGTAACCCCTATCTTAAAAATTAAAAAAAAGGTTCCAGAGGAGATTCAGGAAATTACAGACCAGTCAGTCTAATGTTGATACCAGGTAAGTTGGTGGAATCTGTTATTAAAGATAGAATTAGCTGGCACATTGATGAACAAAAGCTACTGAGGAAGAATCAGCATGGATTCTGTAAGGGAATTCTTGTCTCACTAACCTGTTTGAGGGGGTGAACAAATATATGGGTAAAGGAGACCCAGTAGATGTCGTTTACCTAGACTTACAGAAAGCTTTTGATAAAGTTCCTCATCAAAGGCTCCTAAGCAAACTCAGCAGTCATGGGATAAGAGGACAAGTCCTCTTGTGGATTCAAAACTGGATAATTAACAGAAAACAGAGAGTGAGTATAAATGGGCAGTTTTCACAGTGGGGTACCATAAGGCTCAGTACTAGGTCCGGTGCTTTTTACCTTATTCATTCATGATTTGGAGTTAGGAGTAAGCAGTGATGTGGCTAAGTTTGAGGATGACATTAAGTTGTTCAGGGCATTGAGAACCAGGGAGGATTGTGAGGTGCTCTAGAGGGATGAGCAAATGAGGCTCTAGAGGGATGGCAAATGAGGTTCAATGTGGGCAAGTGCAAAGTAATGTACATTGGAGCCAAAAATCTTAACTATAAATATACATTGATGGGGTCTGAACTGGTGGTAACTGACCAGGAGAGATCTTGGAGTCATAGTAGATAACTCACTGAAAATGTTGACTCAGTGTCCAACTGCATTAAAAAAAAGGCAAATGCTATGCTGGGGATTATTAGGAAGGGGACTGAAAACAAATCGGACAGTATCATAATGCTCCTATATAAATCTATGTGCTGCCTCATTTGGAATACTGTGTATAGTTCTGGTCATCACACCTCAAAAAAGTATTATGGCATTGGAAAAAGTGCAGAAAAGGGCAATTAAAATGATTAAGGGGATGGAACACCTTCCCTATGAAGAAAGGTTAAAGAGGCTAAGGCTCTTTTAGTTTGGAGAACAATGATTGAGGGGTGACTTGAGAGAGGTTTACAAAATTATGCATGGGACAAGAAAGATAAAGAAGTACTTTTCTCCCTTTCTCACAATACAAGAACTCATGGGCATTCAATGAAATTACTGAGCAGCAGGCTTAGAACAGATAAAAGGATTTACTTCTTCACCCAAAGATTAATTAACACGTGGAATTCATTGCCACAGGAAGTGGTGGTGGCTACAAGCATAGACAGCTTCAAGAGGGGAATTGGATAAACATATGGGGCAAAGGCCCATCAGTGGCTATTAGCCACAAAGTATAGATGGAACACTGATGCTCTGTATTCTTGGTGCTTGGGGGGGCAACAGTGGGAGAGCTTCTGGAGTTCTGGCCCCTCTGATGGACCTCCTGACGGCACCTGGGTTTTGGCCACTGTGTGACACAGAGGGTTGGACTGGATGGGCCACTGGCCTTATCCAACACAGCTTCTTTTCTACGTAATTTTCACCCATCTCCTCTTCCTGCTGCAGACCATAAATTTGCCCTTCATGTCATTCTTGAGAGACACCTGTCTCCCAGCAAGCGTATTCTGGAGAGATCAGTGCTCTGCAGTGGGAGGTGAGGATGCAAGAAAGCTTTGTTCTGCTGATGGAAGTACTTTCTGTTAGTGGAAAGCTTACTCTGGATCCAACCCAATATGCTCTTCAAATCAGACTTTAAATTTCAGAGCTGTTTGCCTTTCAGATCTTGGGTAATATTACTCAGCTTGGCTTCCTCTAACTCTTTACCTTGTATAACATCACATATTAATCTACAACTCATATTAAGGCAAGAACTATAATGTTTTCTTTTTCTCATGTCTTACAAAAAACTGGTTTGTTTAATTTAGTGCCTTTAAACAAACAACATGATTTCCCTCTGGGTTTTTTTTTGGGGGGGGGATGGAAATTTTGGGAAAATAAATTTTAGAAAATAAAAGTGAAATCTATGCAATCCTTACTATCCTATCAAACCTAAACTAATTTTACTGCTTTAACAACATAAACTTACTTGGCAATGTTAACTCACTCATTGTGTAAAATTGCAATATTTGACATATTTATGGAATTTAAAAGTTATGAATGCCTTAGTTTTGTACAAGTAAAACTACAAATATACCCAATACTTGACAGAAAACTGCAAGGTGATGCACCTTATGCCATCTTAGCACAAACATCTTTTTTTGCTATCTGGTTAGAGACAGCTCAGTTCTCAATGGAACCAGAGCTTTCCTCTGAGGCTTTGGTACAGATTCTGTGCCACCTCCTTCTGGTCTTTTTTCCCCTCCAGCAAGTTATGGCAATAAGCTACTTTTTACCCAAACTGTGGGTATATATGTCACAGAGGTTCAAGGACGAAATGAAAAGGTAAACCACAAATCAAATTAAAAGGGAGACAGAAGGGATGCAACAGTGGAGAAGCAATGAAAGCCCTGCCTGCTCCTCTCATTCCTATATATATAATCCCCTTACGTATTGGCCATTTCCATGGAAGCAGGTGCCGACGAAGCTGGTCGATGTGCCGCCTCAGGACTTGCCCGTCTTCTGTTGACACCTCGTACATCACGGTGCCTGTGGGGCGGATGATGTGGCCCGCAACCCATTCCGGCCCTCTTCCAAAGTTCTTTGCAAAGACAGGGTCCTCTGGGAAAAAGCCGCGGGGTGCTTTTCTCTGTTCTGGGTCGTTCCGTGTCTCCGGAGCCCTATCGGGGTGCAGCTGGTCCAGCAGGGTGGTTGGCCTCCGGCCCATGAGAAGTTCGGCTGGGCAGCGCCCATTTACTGGGTTGGGTGTTGTCCTTTGCGCCAGAAGGAAACTGGCGATGCGGCGTTCCCAGTCCCCCTCCATCAGGCGGCTCAACGCTTCCTTAGCTGTCCGGACCATCCTTTCCGCCTGGCCGTTCGTTGCGGGGTGGAAAGGCGCCGACCTGATGTGTTTGATCAGGTTGCTGCTCAGGAACTGCTGGAACTCTTCTGACGTGAAGATATTCTGTGGTGGAGTCTATGGAAGCCAGAGTTTGGGGAGGCCTCAGCTGAATAGAATTTAATAGAGCCCACCCTCCAAAGCAGTTACTTTCTCCAGAGAGAAAGACATCTGTTGTCTGGAGTTCAGCTGTGATACCCAGTGATCTTCAGGCTACACCTGGAGGTTGGCTACCCTAGGTGTAGCAGTTAGCACTTCAGAGCAGGGTCTGCCAGACCCAGGTTCTTGCTGTGGAAGTTGAGTGGGTGATTTTGGACCAGCCACAGACTTTCAGCCTAACCAACCTAACAGGGTTGTGCAGATCAAAAGGAGAAGAGGAGAATGAAGCTGCTTTGGTCCCTGATGTGGAGAAATACTGTACTTTTCCTCCTGGAGTACCATTGCTGCCAATATCCAGGTCAGGGCTGGAGATCACTCAGAACTAAAACTGCTCTCCAGATGGCAGAGATCAGCTCCCCTGGAAAAAATGGCTGCTTTGCAGCGTAGACTCTGTGTCATTATACCCTGCTGAAGTCACTTCCCTCCTGCCTGGGTCCCCACTGCGGAGAAAGACTGTAGTTTTCCTAGGTAGAGGCTACGGGGAGGGGGAAAGAGATTAAAACCTGAAGTCAGAGGGGCAGCAAATG